GAATTCTTGTGATAGCTCTCCCCAAGTTCTGATAGATCCAGGTGCTAACAAATTTAACAAAGTGCTGGCTTTTTCCCTTAATGAAAAAGGAAAAAGTCTAATCCTAACAGCATCATTAGACACTCCATCATATTTAAATTTAGCACAAATTTCAAGAAAACTAGCAAGATGTAAGTTAGGATCTTCGGTAGGTGATCTTCCAAATTGATTATTTTGTACCATCTGAATAATAGCAGATTTAAGCTCAAATGAATTGGCAACAACATCAGGATTTTGAATAGTCAAGTGAAGTTCATCTGCTATCGGATTTGCATAATCTCCTAAAGGTCTTTGTCAATTTTCATTTATTGGATTATCTAAGTTATTCACCATTTCTTGTAAAATTTTAATCTCTCTTTGTTGTTTTCAAATGTCTCTAATAGTACTTTCTAATTCTGAATTGTAAGGTGCTAACCATTCAGATCCAATATGCGAATAAACACTCTAATAAAAATATCATTTTTTTTTATTTTTGATTTTGTTATTTTTTTTATTGTATATATATTATCTCAAAATTTCCTAATTTCTCAAAACTATTTAATTAATTGTTACTTTCCCCGGCAACGACGCCAAAAACTTGATCTAATTTTTTTGTTGTGATAGATTGTGTAAACTTTAATTAAATATAGTCAATTAATATTCGGATTCTACGCAAGTATCCTATGTAAGTATATGTATAATTATCAAGTAATAATGGACTTTCTATTTAAGCCCCAAATATTATTCCTACGGAGTAGGTTTAAATTGGAAATGATAAATTTGCTAAGAAATTCATAGAAAGTCAATTGAAATCATTGTCACTAATTTCAATTGTTGATATGTAATCAAAATTAAATTTCTAAACTATTACCAAATCAAAAATGCAAAGTTTAAAACAATAAATACTAATCTATTAACTATGTTTATGTAACGAAGATTTTTATTTGAAAAAACATCCTTCTCACTACAATGAAGCTATGGTAAAATGAGATGAAATAAATGTTCATAGTATGTATTGTGCCAAATAGGAGCAATTTTAATTCTCTACCCTAATACAGTGCATAGAAAATCATTGGCTAATCTCAGTGTTTAGTCCCTAAATCTGTGGCTAGGCTAGGAGGATACCGGCTCCTACTTCAGAGCCCCCACTTCCCTTCACCTGAAGGCTAGCTTTCACTTCAATTTTTAAACAATAAGACCTAATTGAAGATTTTTGTCTATCACCCTAAAGGTTCTCCAATTCTACACCCAACAAAGAACATTTGCATTTTTATTTGCACTTAATTCCATGAACGATGTTCTCCACCATGGAATCAAATGTAATCCTCAATCCTCACTCTGTTGTAGCACTCTGTTGTAGAACTCACTCCATTTCCTAGATCACATGTTTCACAACACATTTTTAAAATTCAATTGGCCAGATTAAAAATTAAATTAAGTGCAGAGTTAAAAAATCATCACAATTTATTTTATATTTTAATATTGACACATTCATATTATCTCTTCCTGTCACTCTCAGAGTAGGGAGAATGATAGAGGGAACTACTCAGACTTCATGAGAAAGAAATATCAAAACATAAATTTCATATATAATAGAAAGTACATACAACACTGATAAACAAACATTACTTATCTGAAATCTCTTTCTCAAAGCAAATCCTTTGTAGCCTTTCCTTAGAAATACAGGAAGAAGATATCTCTCACTTTTCTCCTTCTCCAACATTCTGACAAAAAGCTTCACACTAAATCTCACCACAAAAACTCTAAACTATGAAAACAAGTAAAAAATTGACTCTAATATGGTAGTGGAATGGAATGATGTGGTGCAAAAAATGAATGTAAAGGAGTGAAAAATGTAGAGGAACACTTTTTCAGATGAAATTTGGCCCCAAATAGAGCCCAAGGTCAGTTCTCCAAGAGGTGCCTCCAAAAACTATTCAAAAAATCATCCAAATACATTGAACCTTCAAGAAATCGGGTCTGCACCGCCCAAAACAAGAGGTGCCTCCAAAAACTATTCAAAAAATCATCCAAATACATTGAACCTTCAAGAAATCGGGTCTGCACCGCCTTTGACACCGTCAGTGCTGAGTAAAAATCTCCAGCCTTAAATTCTTTTGCGTCGTCGGCGCTGACCTCGGCGCTGAGCATTTCTTCCAAAACGTAATTTTGACTCCAAATTTCATCCTCTTTGCTTTCTTTTTGCTTTAAGCCCTAAAAATTAACAGCCTGCAAGAAAACATCAAAATACCTTCCATTAAAGTGCAATATCACCAAAAATTAGTATAAAATATGGGTCAAAAAATGCATAAACTTTTGGTGCATCACTTTGTGATTATTTTTAATTTTCCATTCTCCTCTTCCATCAGTCAAAAAGGTAATTACTTCATCAAGTGATGAATCAGTCATAAAAAATGCAACATACTTACAGTTAATAGCATTTCTAAGTCCATAAATTCATTAATTCTTCTTCGAGTAAATTCAACTTGCTTACCTCAGAGAAAAATATGATCCTCCTTTGTCACTCGAATATTGACATAAAATTCTTGAATCACCAAAACAATGGCTACTGCAGTGAAGTAGCAGAAAGTTTCCCACTTCCGAGCAATAATTAGCCTTTTGATCTCTCCTCCCGGCTTCAAAAATGCTCACTCCTGAAACAATATCCTTGAGCCCATTTCGATATTATAATTATGTTGGGTGTTATACATCACAAATCTACTTGCATTGCAAATCTCCTGTAGGCTTTCTCCTCTTTACTCTTGGAGCCATAATAATTTTTATATAAATCGAAATAAATTCACAATATCTTAAATTAAACTCCAAAAGTAGGAATATTTCATAAGAAGCTTTTTAGCATGGGTTTTCTTTAAACTTCTTCAAAAAACTCTCAAATTTTTGGATTTTGAAAATGTAGGCTAAATCCCCAATGAAAATAAAAAATTTCTAGGTTAAAGTAAAGCTCTTAACAAGAGAAGATGAAATCCAAGACATTTCGGCTTTGAAATCTCCTCAAATTCACCAAATGTGAAGCCCTAGGCTGAGTTTCTGCCTTGGTTTAGAGGTAGAAGACGAAACAAAAAGTAAAAATGGCTTTTTACATGTATATTTTGCGGTTTTATATGATTTTAAGTGTTTTCGAGAAACTGTCGTCAAAGGCGCCAACGCCAAAAATTTTCTGATTTCAATTTTATTCAAAAGTATGTTGAGTACCACACCACATCAATCTCTAATTTACTTAAATAAATACATAAACTCGTAATTACACAATTTCACAAACAACACAAAACTCACATTTATATATAAAATTTGAATAATTATGAACTAATGTTTTTCAAGCCAACACACTTAATTTAGTGTTGAAATCAAGCAAACAAACTAACGTTGAAGTCTAAATATCAAACATTAACAAACAATACACATAAGGTTCCACAATAAAAGTAAATCAAATCCAGTACAAACACATAATAGTAAATATAACTATGAATTCTATACTAAAAGAGTTCAAACATCTTCTTCACTATCATCTCTTGAATCACTCCCATGGATTGGTAGTGCACGTACAAGTTGTAAAAAGATTGGTGAGGAAATTTGTTCGTCAAATCTTCTTCAATCCAAGCATTTTTTATGAACGTTCACTCCAAACCTTCTTAAAAATGCCCCGTGTGTTCGAAGTGTTCCTTTATCCTCCAATCCAGGTGGTAAAACATTTCAGAAATATTTCTAATTGAATGCATAAGATTCTGTACCTACTTTTCCAACTTCTTAATCCTCTTCTAAAGTGCATTTAAACTAAAGTAAGGTTGAATAGGCGATGAATTTTGAAATTTTTGATCCATCAACATATTCATATCATTCTCCTTCCCAATTCCTTCGCAGTTGCAATAAACTTCTAGGTCCATAGGCATCCAAGGGAGAAGCATTTTTTCCCAACTTTGATAAGGCACTTGCCACAGGCTACACAATAAGAATATGGTAGATGGATATCCCAGTCCAGAAGTCATTCCATTGATTATTAAATCCAAGACATACTTTACTATTCAAGCGCCAACATCAATAGGTTTTCTAGTTTGACTAGGATAATTCAAAATCACACTTTCTTTTCACTTTACTGATTTTCATAGTAGGAAGTAATTTTGATTCAATAAAGAAATGTCATGCCTTTAGTGAAGGATTCAGTAATGTTGAAGAAAAACTTACATATCTGTTATCTCTGGTTCCCAATTTGTATCTTCATCTGTAATGTATCTATATAGTTGATCCATTCTATCTCTCGTAGGGATAAAATTTGCATAGTGACAAATAAGAACTCTTTCAATCATAAACATGTTGTTTATTCTCGAATGACTAAATTGTAACCACCTACCTCGAATATAGACAACTCCTTGGCTAATTTCATAAAGATTAGCGTAAGACTCCATCACCAAAGGAACTACTATACAGACAGTGGTATAACAAAGTACTTCACAACGTCTCTGTGTAATAATCTCCTCCACTCTAGTATTCAATGTGTTGAATCCTCAATTGGAAAAGCTTTGCTCCTTGATTAGTTTGTTCTCCATAAGAATGCAATCGTATAACTTTTGCACATCGAAACTGACGAACTTTCTTCTGTTGAAAATTCCATATCTAGCAGTTTCTTTAGAGTGGGAAGCCATAGGATTCCAAAAATGGTGGCTTTCCCTTCATTTTATCTCTCTTAAATATGTTTAGGATTTAATTTTAGGGAGTTACTAAGAAGAAATCACACCAAAAACCATCAAAAACCACCTTTTAGATCATTTTAAGTCGTTTCTGTCACTGCGACTCTTCTGACGTCAGTTTAGATTTCTACACTGTTTAGATTTAAATCATAATGACTCTCAAATTTTTCACATAAGTTAGTAAATAAAGATGTTTCAATATATTTTGTTAATATATAAGTTTCTCAAATACACGAAATTCATAAAGAATTTATTCCACACACATTTACTCCAACTGACTCTATGTTGAGGAAAATGGCAGTTAGAATTGGCTGCAGATAAAGACTGGGACACCTTCTTTTTCACAATCAGGATATCTTTACTTTCTCTATCAATGCCACTTTTCATTGCTTTCTGTAAAGTTTTGTTCTTTTCAATGCTGCTTTTCATAACCATCTGTAAAGTTTTGTTATCCAGTATATTCTGTAAAGCTTGCTGATGAACCACACCATTGAACCATAATTCAGCCACCTGAGCTGCAAGATTAAATTGAGGGATGGATGAAATGTTGATTAAACCTTCACCAGTCCAATTATCCAGCAAAATATTAAGCTTGCCCTCTCCAATTTTCCAAATGAATAGATTTTTAGCCTGAGATCTTACTTTTAGCACATTGGTCCAGGCCCTGGAATCCCCAAGTCTTTTATTAACAAGGGAGGGGTGCATCTCTCTACAGTAGTTGCCCTTCAAAAATTTAGCCCAAAGAGAACTTTGAGCTCTAAACATCAACCAAAGCTTACAAAAATTGATTTGAGAGATCTGTATAAGACTTTTGAAACCCAGCCCACCAGCACTTGTGCTTCTACACAGCTTTTGCCAACTGGTCCAATGCATTTGCTTCCTCTGACCTGCCCAAAGAAATCTATTAAACAATCTTTCCAATGTTAACTGTGTTGACTTTTTCATTATAGAAACCTGGGAGATATAAAATGGAAGAGCTGTCAAGACACTTTTTAGAAGAGTAACTCTACCCCCATTGGAAAGGAATGAATTTGCCCAGTAGTTTAGTTTATCCTGAATTTTGGTGATACAGTCATCAAATTGAACTTGTCTTGTTTTCCCCTTCACAAGCAGAGTACCTAAGTATTTTAAAGGCAGAGAGCTGGCCTTGAAGCGACTAATGTCAGTAGTCCAATTCTTAATTTCAGGTTTAACTTGTTTTCCAAACACCAAAAAAAATTTCTTAGTATGGAATTGCATACCAGAACATTTCTGAAACTTCTCCAGGCATTGAAGAACCAATTTAACAGCTGGTTTGGTTGTTTTGGCAAAGATAATAACATCATCAACAAATGCTAAATGATTCACAACAATGTTGGATCTATGACTGTAGAGTGTATGAGGGGATGAAACCATGAGCTGATTCAACATTTTAGAGAAGTAATCAAAAGCAATGATGAAGATAGTTACAGGCAGTGGGTCACCTTGCTTGATTCCTCTAGATGAGGTGAAGAAACCATGAGATTTACCATTTATAAACACTGATTGAGAGTTGTTTCTTAGCCATCTATGTATCAACAAGATAAATTGTTCATTAAATCCCTTAGCATACAACACTTCCTC